ACATAACTATCATCATTATTATGCATTCTCACTAATTCTTTTTAATTTTTATTCTCACGCATCGTTTTTCATTCTTACAAAATAGGATTATGAAGAACACATTCTGACAGAATGAGAATCATAAAAAAGTGTATAATACCATTTAGACGATTTAATTAGTGAGAATATGAGATAATGACAATAATTATGTGAAGTCGAACGTATTCACATTACCAAACAACCTATTCTCTTAGTCATTCTCATAGACTAGCACTGTCCACACAATAGATGACAATCCACATTTGAACCTAGCCCTATATATATATATATATATATATATATATATATATATATATATATATATATATATATGTGTGTGTGTGTGTGTGTGTCTGTGTGTTTGTTGCTCTATATATAAAAAAATGTAAGTATATTGCGTATATTGGTAAAAAAGAGTATAATGTGCATCTATTATACATAAAACATAAAATATGATACTATTATGCATAAAAAATAAAATATGTTGCTATTATGAAAAAAAGTAAAGCGCATTATTGTTGTGAAAAACATATATATGTTCCTATTATGGATATAAAAAAAATAGAAATATGAGTAACGCCCGCTTCTCGATTCCCGTTATGAAATTCTTTTGTTATTTGATTTGAGAATTTGACAGACTCGCGACGCGGCAGTAGGACTGGTCATTGCGCGGCTTTTTAAATGAAGGTCACGACATGACACTTTGATGACACGATGCGACCTTAGTGAATCAATAAACGCTAATTATTGGCCTTTGGGTCCTATTTAAAGGCTCTAATACCAATGGTTGCCTCATTTGGGCAACCTCCACTCTTAGAAACATCCCTCTTTGCAAACCCTAGCCTCCTATTGTGTTTTTGAGTTGATTTCATCCTTCTTGGTAAAGCTTAAAGGCGGTAAATGTGTTCTTTGGTGCAAGAAGGTGTTGTACAAGTTCAAATCCAATAAGCTCTTCTTATCTCTAGACCTTGGTGAGAATAAAGCTACCACCTTTATGTCCACGAATTTCCATTTCCTTACTTTTTTGGTCTTAATCCATTAAGACAACCACTCCATCCATAGATCTGACTAATTTAAGACCTCTTAATCCATAAAGTTGTGGGTTTAAGCCTTTGCATGGCTATAAGAGGCTAAAACATCATTTCATCCATTCCAAAGTACTTAACTCATGCATAGGGTCAAAGGAAAGATCAAGCAAACATTTTTATCAACCTAGAAGCCCAAAGATGCATGAATGGACAGCTTAAACTCTCTGGAGAGTCTCAAACTCAAAAAGGTCCAAACTTTGGGGACTTAAGCTCATAAATCTTATACTAAAGAGATCTTGAAGAACACTAGCCAAGGTATAAGCTTTAAACCTAAAAATGTTGTATAAAGGTGGGAGGTTTTTGGATCTTTAAGCTTGATGGCACCTTCTTCTTCTTCTTCTTCTCTAACCTTCTTCTTCAACTACAAGAGCCAAGAATCACTCAAAACTTGCAAAATCACACTCACACGGCACACACACAAGATTAGGGTTTTAGAGAGGGTTGGAGGCTGATAAGGGTGGCTATAAATAAGACCATCATGTTCTATTTAAAGGGGACAAATGAATATTAGGGTTTGCATCTGAGCCTAGTACGCCCAACATACTAGGTGCCCTCCGCGATTCTGCATGGTGCATAAGTACGTTGCGCGTACTCATGCATACGCCCCGCGTACTGACTTGCCAACCTTTCACATTTAGGGACTACTTTTGACATAATACGGAAAGATTCAAGAATGATAATTGTACCTCATTTCGAGATGTTACAACCGGCAGACGCTGATCAGATCTAGAGTTCCAGGTGAGGGACATGGTTCTCCTGAAGGTGTCACCTTAGAAAGGTGTCATCCGATTCAGGAAGAGGGGCAAGCTGCATCCCAGGTATAATGGTCCTTTCAGGGTTTTGGCCCGGGTGGGCCGGGTTACATATCGCTTGGATCTTCCCGATGAGCTCAGCCAGATTCATAGCATGTTCCATGTCTCTGAGCTATGGAAGTGCTTAGTGTATGATTCCGCAGTGGTCCCATTAGGGGATATTCAGGTGGATGACCGCCAAAATTATATTGAGAGACAGGTGGCGATTCTTGACCGAAAGACGAAAACCTTGAGGAACAAGGTTTTTGAGTTGGTGAAAGTTCAGTGGCAGCATCACAAGGGTTCTGAATGTGGAAGCTGGAAGATGAGATGAGGGAGCACTATCTGGAGTTATTCGGTGCAGCGGACTTCGAGGACGAAGTCTGATTCAAGTGGGGGAGAATTGTAACACTTGAAAATTTGTAAGTTTCATATTTAATCCCTAATCTAAAAAGTTTGCAAGAATGGTCCTTAAGCTAGTATGTGGGGCGTACAGGGTGGTACGCTTAGCGTACTAGCCCGATTTGGATCGCGCCTTCAGACCACGTATGCGGGGCATACGTTGTGTACGCATGATGTACGTGTGATTAGTGAAACCCTAATTTTTAGGGTATTGTACCCTATTTAAGCCTTATGATCGCCTCATTTGGATATGTTTAAACGGCGTCGATCCCCTCTTGTCCAGAAAATAAAAACCCTAGTGAGATCTTGAGAGTTTGAGCCTTAAAGTGTGTTGGTTGGTGCTTTGTGAAGGAGAAGAAGAAGTGAACCATTTGGAGTTGTGCTTGGAGCTTGAAGATCTGAGATTTGTTCTTCATTTACTATCCTTGTGAGGTAAAAAGCTTTTATCTTGCCATTTTATGATGCTAGATCTAGTTGTGTTGCCATTTTGTGCTTTTTGAGTCCTTGGAATGATTGTTGACCCATCTATTCACTCCAAAAGTGATTGATTGTAGATCCAGGGTCCTTTTGGTCCTTTTCTCCATAAAAATGCAAGCTTTGAGTTGTTTATGGACTTTTACATGTGATAAGACCGTTTATTAAGTTTTTTTTGAGCTATAGAACCCCATTAAGCCATGCATGCACGTAAAGTTGCCAACTTTACGTGATAAACCACCTTTAGGAAGTCAGATTTGAAAGATGGATTGAAGTCTTAACCTTAAGGGCTGAATGAAGAAAGTTGGCCAACTAGGGAGTACGTTGCGCGTACAAGCCCCAAATCGTGTACGCTAAGCGTAAAAGCTGAGTACGCCCTGCGTACTCAGCAGATGGGCTTCAGAACTTTAGGCTTTTCGGTATTGGGTCCATGTTGGACCTTTGGAGTCTAGGGCTTTGTTGGGCCATCAGAATATTATTTTGGGTTGATGCTATTTTATTGGACTCTTTGGTTGGAGGCCCATGAAAGGGATTTGGGCCAAATTTGGAAAATTGGGCCATATTTGGGCTTTGGGTAATTATTTTGGAATTTGGGCTTTTGGACAATTGGAATGAGCTGTGGCCTTGGGCCAATTCGGGTAAAGGGTAAAAAGGGATTTTATCCTAGTTTGGACTCTTAGTGTGAGTCGGGATCCAATTATTATTTGGATGTTATTTTGTGATTGATAGTGCGGGGATTTTAGCGGGCCAGCAGCCAGGGATTTATCTGTGAGATTCAGCAGTGTGAAGTGAGTTTCCTCATTGTGTTTAGCGGGTCGAAGGTACCAATGTCGGCCCATGGTTTATTATGTTAGGGTGCTAGATGTCTACGTGACTCTTACATGTGTATGCATTGCTATGAATACCGAGTGGGGCTTGATGTCATGCGATGCCCGATGGCTGTATTATATGCTATTATCTTTGTGATTGTTGCATGTGTAGGATTATGTTCATATGCTTATATATGTATCGGGCGGGGCCCAAAGTCAGGTCGAGCCTGATGATTAACAGATCTGTAACCCGAGCAGGGCTCGAAGTTGGGCGGGGCCCGAGGCCGAGTGAGATTCGATGCCGGACGAGGCCCGATGTGGGGCGGGGGCCTAATATGTGTTTATTTATGTATAGTATGTGGTATTTTGGGGAACTCACTAAGCTTTGGGCTTACGGTTTTGAGTTTATGTTTCAGGTACTTCAGGATCAAAAGGGAAGAGCCCGGAATGATTGCAGTGCACACACCACCTTTTTCCGCATTTTGAGATTTACCCTGATATGATATGATGTAGTGACATACTTTGGTCTTTTGGGTTGTATGACAATGTCTTGGATTACTGTTTTTATAAATTGAAAATAAAACTTTTGGGTTTTATTTTTGGGACGTTACATTTATACAAATCATCTTGATTTTATGTCTTTCACTTTCACTGTTCTTTTTAGTAGTTTTTATCGACATATTAGTGACAAAATTTGCCACTAATTTAAGTAGCAATCCAGTTGGAAATTTGTCACTAATGGTTGTCCGTCAGAATTACCTTCGGGATTACATCATCGACTGATTCCATGGAAGATTTGTCAAAAAAGTCAACAAAAAAAGTCGAAAAATTATTTCTTGGAAGAACTTATGAGACGATTTGGTAACTCATCCGATACCACGCCTAATTCATTCTAGTTTTATGTTTGTTGGTTTAAACACTTTTAAAAGAGTTATATTTATTATGTTTATGGTATCAGACAATTTGTTAAGTTTTTATGTGTATTATGGTTTGTCGAATATTGTCTTAGATAATTTTGAATGCGTAAAAATAGATTTTGTATTTATTTGTAACAGATTTTTTTTGCATATTTATACAAATCATCTCGATTTTATGTCTTTCACTTTCACTGTTCTTTTTAGTAATTTTTATCGACGAATTAGTGACAAAATTTGCCACTAAATTAAGTAGCAATCCAGTTGGAAATTTGTCACTAATGGTTTGCCGTCGGAATTACCTTCAGGATTACATCACCGACTGATTCCATGGAAGATTTGTCTGAAAAGTCAACAAAAAAGTCGGAAAATTATTTCTTAGGAATTCCGTCAGAAAACATTTTACATTGGAATTTTGTAGAAAGAATAAAAAGTTAACAAAATAGTACAACAACTATTTTTGTTGCTAAATATTAGAACCTTGGTTCTTCGATCTGCAACTTCCTATCTTATTTGGCCTGGCCTGTCCAGGGCCCTTCTATGACGTGGTTGGGAACGTTGTTGTGTCATCTGTTCGTTTCAATTCAAAAAGTTTAACTTAGATTTAACCGGGAAAGCAAAAGCGGAACATTCTTATATAACTAAGGTAATTCCTTACTTTTTCAATTTCCGGCGCTAAATCCGTCAAAAATAATCACCAACGTTTTTATTGACGGAATCCATTTTGTCGGAATCCGTCGCAATTGTCGGTCGGAAAACGTTCAGGTTTTTAGTAGTGAAAACAAACATGCCTTTTCGATTTGAATGGGGGAAAATCGCTAATCTCTTAGTTTGATTATAATTTTAATCTCTTAGAAGTTTTTGGCTGACTCTATGAAACTTGAAAACATATTATTTTTGGTAAACAGGAATGCGTCAAGTTCCTGTAGAAAAGATTGTGATGATATAAGAAGCATAACTCAAAACAGAAGAACAAGTAGTATAAATTGTAGTACCTTGATAGGCATAATTTATAGCTTACATAAACTGATAAAAGTACATCCGCCTTCACAAATTCTAAAATCAACCCCACTCCTCAAAAGACAAAATGAGGTCAAAAGAGAGTGCAAAGGGTCTTGAAACAAAACTAATGTACACAAAATCCAACAAAACATAGCTCCATGCATTACACAAATACATCAATTTCCCAGTACCCGAAATTTCATTTGGGTTGGTTTAAAGAAGTGCATGGAGTTACCACTAGCTGCTTGTGCTTGATGAGATGAACTAGAAGAAAATGATGAGTGAACAGAAGCTATTTTCGCTTCCCTTTCATGCATACAAACTTCTCTCTCGTCTTCACTGATTGTGTCCAACATTTTTGTTGTCCTCCGCCTCATTAAACTCACAAATTGTGGTGGTGCGACCTCACTGACAAACCGTGCCATCCTTGAGCTTGCCATCTAATGGTGTCTGAAGAGACGATTTAAGTATTGTGTTCTACTAAAGGGTGGAATGGTGGATAAAAGTATGACAAAAGTAGACTAATGTCTTTGAAATTTATAGGGAGCTTAGAGTTTGTGTACTTTCATGGTACCCCCTAATGTTTATTGTAATTTGTAAGTCCATCTAAAACCTTTGATTTTCCATTTATCTCCGGATTTAAGTTTCTAAAAGTCTCTTATATATGTTATGGTGCTTGAGGTGTTACAATAGATGTGTGGTCGAATTAGAGTTGCCTCAAAGTTGAGGGAGGTTTATGGTATGAAATAGGATGAGATATGTTGAAGGGAATTGGATGTGGCTGTGACTGTATCACTTGTCCTGATCTTGAATGGCCAATTGGCCATAATTGAAATTTAACCTTTTGTGCTGCTCTTGCTTTTCACATTAAATTAAATAAAAAAATATGACCTTTTCGGAATTATAAATGGCAAATAGCCTGACCAGATAAACGTTGACAAGTGTCTGCATTATGAATCAGTCATGTGGATATCTATGAAGATATGGTTTCTCTGATTTTGTCACATTTTAAGTCATTTCTTTGGTATTTCCTACAAAAGTTACCAAGAGGTGAATACTAGATCAGATGCTTTTTGTGGCGTAATAAGTTGCCTTTCCTATCATGCTATATAAATATAATATAAAGATAAATTACACAAATGGTTGTTTTAGTAGGAAATACCACTGTAAGTTTTTTTAAGAAATTTTTAATATGGTTTGTTATTTTGAGGTTTAAAACCTATATCATGGGTCCTTTTCTGCCAACTACAAGGATCATCGTAAAACATATTAAAAGTTTTCTCAAAAAGACTTGCAATAGTATATTTTTTGTCTACCTGCACAAGAACCATTTGTGTAATTTTGTGTAATACAAATGAGTTTTGTGCTAACCCATGGTCCTAAAAATTATTTACCAATACATAGTGATCTACTTATCTTAAACGTGCTTACCAAACTATAGTAGATATTTTTTTATGGGTTCTAATATTTTAGATTAATTGGTTAAATACCAACGTGACTATTGACCCATTATCATTTCTACAAAAATAATATAAAAAACTAACAAATGACTTTGTTATTTATCTATAAAATATTGTATTACAACTCCTTAAGATAATCTTTTTTATTACAAAACAAAAGTTACATTATATTAAAGAAGTAGGCCTCATGTATCATATTATATAATTTGTATTGGATACAAGTTTTTTAAAAAACAATGCTTTGAATCATACTGTACAAGTGTACAACTAAATATGCATTATATTTGAGGAGTGGGCAAATAATGCATTTAGAAAAGAATCCAGCATAGCCCAATTACACCTAGGGAGAAGAAGAAAAACAATAAATATAAAAAACGATTTATCATTTGAAAATTAATCCATAGGCTAGGAAACTAAAACCAAAAGTAATTAATCATCATCAACGTAAAGTGATTACATGAACATATGACTCATGCCAATCTTCTTTCGGGATGTTTTAACTATGAATGTGGAAGCCCACACATATGCCAACATAATACTTAACAATTGAGTAATATATTGACAATTATTTAAAGATAGGTGCATGCACTCAAGACATGATGAGATCGACATTCGACAATATTTTTATACCACATGTATATGTTTCTTTTCCTCTAAATCAACTACTTGCATTTTTTTGTTCCTTTCTAGATAACCATCTCAAATTTTCTTCTCGCTCTGTTAAAAGATTTCAAGGTATATTATTTTTTGCAACCTCTTGTCCGTCCACTCCTAAATTGTGTTGATACTTGACCATTTTTATTTGCTATACTTGACCATTATTTAATTAAATTTTTTTTTTTTTGCTAAACTTCTTTTTTTTAAGCGATTAAACAAATCAAATTGCAAAGGGTGGTAACTTATTTAATGTGCGCTTTCCAAATTTTATTATTTTACAAAAAGAATAGGTTTTAACGTATAGTTTGTATCAAGGTTGTAAAAGTCGTCAAGCAATGGTCGGGCGGTTGACTAGGTTTAAAGGACTAATCGGTCTAGGCGGGAAATTAATCGGTGCCTAGGCGGAAACCCTTAATTGTAATATAATTTAATTTTTAAAAATTAAATATTACTTATATACTAACAAAATAAGTAAATAACCATAAAACTGACATATTCAGTTATCTAAATATTTAAATCATCCTATATAATAATTTTTATATTAATTTGAGATCTTTTTAACAGTTTTAGTCATCAATCATCATAAATTAGTCATCCAATATTATAAATTTGACTAATCGGGAATTTTTTTTTTTTTTTTGAAAATTTTGACAGTCTTACTTTTTTACCGGCTTAGCCCGTTTAGACCGCCTAGGGCCGTCCAGGACCGACTCCTCCTAACTCGACCGACTAGCATTAATCGTATACAGTAAGTGGTCGTTTAGCGCCTAGATGGCCGCCTAGACCGATTTTTACAACACTGGTTATATTGTTTATAAATGAAAATAATAATATAAACATGACATAATGTCATATGTGCTCGATCGTCTTCTCTTGTAAAATCATTAAAATTTTCTATCGATCAATCTATGTTCATTATCGACACAAACGAATGTGGCATCCCTTTTCCGTTTTTCATCAACAAAGCAAACAAGAATTATGAATCATCCCCTCCTGCAGTGTTCTTTGCAAATATCAGGTGGCGTTGAAGTTTCACTCCGTTGAATTTTCAGCATGAGGGGGGGAGGGGTGTTCTTAGGTAGCAATCAAGATGAAATTCATATGGAATAATGATAGGTAACAAGGCATATCAGCAAGAAGATCAGCAATAAAAAGAGGTGCAAATAAAAATGGTAAAACAAACCCTAATTTTTAAAAGGTGGAAAAACTATCATTCATTGTGTTTGTTACAACATCCCTAATGACATGGAAGTAAATGACCTATAGAAGCAATGTGAACAACATAGAGTTATGGCTTACGTATACATCGCTAAAAATTATCGACATTTGGAAAGAAGTTTGTATGAGTCAGATTCTTGCGTGTGGAGAACAGAAGTGTAACATCCGGGATTTACCAAGTATTAATATTAATTATCTTATTGAATAATAGGTTGTTTTGGATTGGGCCAGGATAGTTGGGCTTCAAGAACTGGGATGAGAAGGGTATTACGCGGGGCGTACCATGCCAGGTACACTTAGCATACTCAAGGGAATTGGGCGGGGAGGCCATGCACGTACGCCCAGCGTACCAAAGGGTACGCACAGCGTACGCACGCAGATTCTAAAACCCTAACTTTTAGGGTTTGATCCCTATATAAAGGACCTTATGCCTTTAGTACAGCCTCCCTCTCACCTCTAGGCAGCCACCACGAAAACCCTAACCCATATTTGTGTGTTCTTGTGATTTGGAAGCCATTTGAGTGCATCTTGGTGTAGCCTTGGTGTTTTGGAAGAGAAAGGAGCTTGAAGAAGGAGCAAGGATTCAAAAGGAGCTTGTAGATCCATGAGAGTAGCACCATTTATGACCTATTTGAGGTATCAAGCTTCAAACTTGATCATTTCATGTTTAGATTTGATGTTGGGGTGTTTTATGCCACTTTTGGACTCCATTGTTGAGGCTTCTTACATCTTGATGATTTCAGACCATAAGAGTTGTCCTTTTGAGCTCTTAGAAGCACTAAGAGTCACAAAAATTGGACCTTGATGCTTAAGCCACAACCATGCAAGTGTTTGATGGTCTTAAAGCTTGTTAAAGGACCAAAATCATGCTTTGACCCCCAACCATGCGTGCAAGCACATAAAGTTTGTGACTTTATGGATTAGGAGGTCTTAAAGGACCCATATCTACATTTTGGACGTGAAGACTTAATGGATTAAGTCACAAATGAAGTCCCAAGAAAGTTGGCCAGTACGCTGCGCATACTGGGTCAACTTCCCGTTTTCGGTCAAGGCCAGCGTACGCTGGGCGTACGTGCCAGGTACGTCGCGCGTACGCATGAAGAGTGGCTGCCTTGGGCTTTTTGGGCCTTAGAGGGTTGGGCCTGGACTATTGGGCCCCCTGTAGAGTATAGTTTTGGGCCTGGGAATTTGGAATTAGAGTATTGGGCGTATTAGGCCATGTTAGGCCTTTTGAAATTATTATTTTGGCTAAGGACTTTTGGAATTAAATTGAGCCCATTTGAGGAATACGGCCCAATTCAGAAAATTAGGCCATTAGTGGGCCATTAGGGAGCCTTTGATGGGCCATAGAGGGACTGGGTATAATAAGTTAGAACTGGGCCTTAGGAATGGTTCAAATTAGGCCAAGGGGGTAAAATGGTCATTTTACCCTAAGTAATATTATAGATTTTGATTGAGTGTTGTTATGATTATGATAGTCGGGAGTAATCGGAGCGGCTGTTAGAGATTACTTTCCGGGAGATTCGACACTCAGCTTTACGAGGTGAGTTACCTTCCAGTAGAAGTGGGTCTAAGGCAACAATGTCGGCCCACTAGTAGGAGATGTGTGTTAGATGATTGATTGTCTTTGTGATAATTGTCTGGATTGCCACTATCTAATATGTTTATATGCTAGGATGTTTGGTTATATGTGCTAGTAGTAGTAGGGGTGAAATAGTCCCCGGATATCGGTTGAAAGATACCGAAGGGGTAGTCATGTCTAGCAGTATGTTATGTTATGTTATTATGTGGTGGTGGTAGGGGTGAAATAGTCCCCGGAACCGGTTGAGATAAACTGGAAGGGGTAGGTCGGACACCCCGGTATGTATGAGGGTTAGAAGTGAGATGTGAAAGAAAGATTGATGTAGCACTATGTGGGATGTGGGTTGTAGGGGTGGGAGCGATAGACTCCCTCTACCCTAAGAACTTTTTAGATAGGAAACTTCCGTCTTTTTTTCCTTCAACTGCAAGATTCGATATGGAGGATGCTGCAAAAAGAGGTCATGCAGATCAAACAAAACAACATGCATAACCACAAGGTAAACAATCGGTGTTATGGGTGATAAATAGAATTAAATCTTCTGCCTCGATGGTGGTTGGTGATGAGGAGAAAAATAAAAAACATAAACGTACAAATATTTCCTTGGAAGAAATAGACCTTTTGGTGGTATCGGATTTTTAGTGGATGGTCCTAAGGGCTAAGATGTGTTCGCGATGTGCACCTTATTGACAGCTTGTATAAGTTTTCCAATAAGAAATGGTTTAATGATAGAGTAATTAATTATATCGATGGAATATGGGTATGCTTGAAATTTAAATTTGGGAATGCATGAGTCAAGTTTAAGCAACATGAAGACAATAAGTGGTATTTTAAGGAGTCGGGACCAATGAGTAGAAAAACATGTTAGACCGAGTTGAATTTGTTCAAGTTTGAGTACTTAATTTATCATTTACTCACTTTATATTTACATAGTTCAGTTATTTGTATTTTTTTTTTGTTAAATTTACTCAGATTATATTGAGAATGTCCGATAATGTAAGACCTATGAATTTTTGTTTCATTGTTAATCTTAATGTTAGTTTTTTTCATGTTTATGTTATTATTTCTATATTTAAACATTATAAAAACTATACAACTAAGTGCTTTTTCTATAAAATAACAAAATCTTTGAAGTACACATTTATACAAAACAAGTCATCATTGTTTTGCAATTTAGCTTGTTTATTAATCACTTTAAATAAACATTTTAAGAATTTTAGCAAAAAATAATGATGACAGGTGAGACGGACAAGAGGTTTGCAAATAGTACTATACAAGGAATGCAAATTTTGTCATGGGGAAGGTGGTGGTTTTTTGGATGATTCGAGAATAGGAACTGGAGGGGGTGTTTGACAAAAGATTGTAGGATCCATTAATCATCTCCATGAGAATGGTTGTATTCCTTCTAATTCCATGTATAGAGTGGTGGGGGATGGGACTCAAACGAGGTTCTGGAAGGATGTTTGGTGCTTGGATATTCCTCTTAGGGAGCGGTTCGGGACGCTCTTTGCTTTGGCCTTTAATCAAGATGCTCGGGTAAGTGATTATTGGGATTCGGGGGATGGAATTTTCATTGGCGTCGGGGGATTAGAGGAAGGGCTGAATCGACCCAATATGATGATCTTGTGGAGACTTTAAATCCTATTCGCATAGGGGAGATGCCAGATAAGTGGTCTTGAGAGCTTGAACCATCGGGTATTTTTACTGTTAAATCAGCACAGAATTGGGTTGATGATATGTCGCTTCCTGTGGGTAGTATGTCTACTAGATGGAACCATTTTGTCCCTATTAAAATTAACATTTTTTTATGGCGTGTGCTTTTGGATCGCATTCCGGTTAGAGCTAAACTGGTGGAAAGGGGGGTGGTGATAGATTCCTTATTGTGTCTTGTGTGTCATAATTCTCAAGAAAGTGTGAACCATTTGTTGCTGCAGTGTTCGGTTGCTGATCAGGTTTGGAGTCAGGTTTGGCATTGGCTTCATTTGGACCTTCCTGTCTTTTCATCTATTCGTGATGTGATGGATTGGGTGGATTCTAGACCAATGGTTCATATGGAACACCCGATTGTTGAGTCGGTGTTCATGGTGGTCATATGGGTGTTTTGGACGTTTCGTAATTCTTTACTTTTTAGTAACAATAAACCTAGAAAAGATAGGCTTTTTGATTCTGTTGTGGATCTTTCTTTTCGTTGGTTTTCGTTTTGGAATTCTAAGGCTCGGATTAACGGGATGATGTGGTTACAAAATCCAATATGGCCTTAATTTGTTCTTTTTTCTAGCTCCTTGCTAGAGGTTTTGTTTATAATTTGATGCTGTTGTTTTAAAAAAAAAAAGGAATGCAATTTTTGATAAATAAAATTGTCTAGAGTAAAAGTTTAAAAAATATTATTTAAGCTCATTAAAAAAATTAACTACATTTTGGTAACAAAATTTATAAGTACACCATGAATTTGGTAATTAAAGAAAAAAAAATAAAACTCTTGAAATATCTCAATTTCTAATATCAAGATATACATTTTTGTTCATTTTAGTCGTTAATTCTTGAATAAAAGTTGCGGGGGCGATGAAGGTGGTGGGTTGCTGTCTCTCCATCCTCAGCCCCATTTCTTCTAACCATCCCCCATCATCACCATCATCATCTTCTTCTTCTTCTTCTTCTTTTCCCCTTCACCCAATTACAAAACGTAGGTCAATACTCTTTACTGCATCAATAGTAGTGGCGTCTTATCTTCAACTATGTCCAAAATCGCCATCTCAATCTGCAATTGCTCAACAACTGGATGAAACTCAGCAGGAAGAAGATCGTGTAGTTCGTCTCTTTGAGGTTTTTTTTCACTCTATTAATTAATGTTTCGTTGCTTTCAATTTTGATTCTGTTTCTTCTCATTTTTGTTCTCGAGTAACTTGCAATGCATCTTTTCAGTGATTTGGGTATTTGCAAAATTTTAGCTCCAAAAATTTTCAATTGTACCAACTCCGTCTAGAATTGCAGATTTGAATGTTCGATTGTTAGCTTAATTTATTGATTCAATCATTCAAACAATGGTGAATTAGTAATTTCTATGCCACATCTCAAAATCAAAATTATTGCAGGAGCTTAATGACTTTTCTCTAAACAATCTGAGGGAGTAATCAGTAATTCTTTCCAAAGATCAAATTAATCCGATAATTTGCTTTTGATACGTATTACATTACAATTACATACATTCATGTGATGATTGTAGGAAACATCACCATCTGTGGTTTTCATCAAAGACCTTGAAATCATCAATAATCCAAATAACACCGATGAAGTAGTAATGGTGGATGATGAGAAAGCAAAAGTTGAAGGGACAGGTTCAGGCTTCATTTGGGATACATTTGGTCACATTGTAGGATATTTGTTTCTACTTTCTACTGTTATATATCATTTCAATCATATTTTTACAAAATAATAATAATAATAATCAAAGAAAACACATTGCTATTTCTTTCATGTAACATTTAAATGTATGTCAGGTGACAAATTATCATGTTGTTGAAAAGTTAGCTACAGATCAAAATGGTAGACAACGTTGTAAGGTTCTCATGCCATTCCCAACAATTATTAAATGAATCACACTTTCTTTTAATTCTTTAATTTATTTTACTTTCCACATGTTTCATTAATACAGATATTCTTAGTTGACAAAAATGGCAACAGCTTATCTAGAGATGGCAAGATTGTTGGTGTTGATCCATCTTGTGATTTAGCTGTTCTAAAGGTGTTAACAATTTTTTTGTTACTTTTTTTTACTCATTTGTTGATATATATATATTTTTTTCATATTTATATTTTCAGGTTGATATTGAAGGGATTGAAGTAAAACCAGTTGATATTGGAAGTGCTCAAAAACTAAATGTGGGACAAAGTTGTTATGCTATTGGGAATCCTTATGGATATGAGAATACATTAACCACTGGAGTAAAACGTTTTCTTATATTTTAATATATAATACATTAATATTATATATTCTTAAAAAAATCGATTAATTTTATAAAAGTGTATATCAGGTAGTAAGTGGGCTGGGAAGAGAGATACCTTCACCAAATGGAGGTGCCATTAGAGGAGCAATTCAAACAGATGCAGCTATTAATTCAGGTAATAAACTCAAATTTAGATCAATAATTTTAATACAAAATTTCAATATTATGTGAAACTTTTTGTTTAATTTTATGATGCAGGAAATTCAGGTGGGCCATTGCTTGATTCTCATGGCCATGTTATCGGTGTCAATACTGCAACTTTTACTAGAAAAGGTATAAAGTATAAGTTAAAAAAAAGGTTTGTAATTTTATTTATTTCATTTAAATAATTGTTATTATTATTATTTGTATAAATTATTGTAGGGTCAGGAATGTCATCTGGTGTCAACTTTGCAATACCAATCGATACTGTGGTTAAGACTGTACCTTACTTGATTGTTTATGGAACTGCCTATCGAGACAGATTTTGATATTTTTATATTTATAATAGCAATGTATTTTGATTCCATTGTATTTCTTCAAATTCATAATTCCATTGTTATAACACAAAAAATATTGAAATACTTCATCATATATAAAAATCAACTACAGAAACTGAATCTCAATTCATTTAATACCATGAACCAAACATGTGAGAGATTTGATTCATTGAAAATAACATTCCACAAAGTATGAATGAAGATTTTACTTTTGAGCTTGAAGGGAGAGGAGTGAGAGGTGTTCATCAATGGAGCAATCAACATGACATGAGATTCTGCAAGATGAAGGGATTAATATCAACCCTAGACCTCTTTGTTCCATGGGAGAAGGAGATGATCTTCTGGTGCTTCGATATTCCACAGCATCTTGAAGAATTATGTTTCCTTGTTTATCCATACAGTAAAATGCTCCCATGAAGAATCTCCCATCACTTACCCCTACCAACATTCGCCTAAACAACAGTTTCTTCACTTGTGAAATGTCCGATTTGCCCTCAAAACATGCGTCTCCTTCTCCTTCTCCTTCTACTGCTTCGTTTGTATTCTCCATTCTGAAAAGTGACTGAAACCACTCGCTGAATGAATTCAAACAAGTAATGAACAAGAAAAGAAACCATACAACAAAAATCCATTTTTTATTCACTAAGGCATATCGTCGAACACCTATTGTGCATCTGCAAATTCCATATCAAAGGATGTGATAATTTATGGAATCACTTTCGGGAAGTGAACATAATCATTTATTAGAGATTCGTATGCAAATCGAAACGAAGTTTTCATTCGGATAACTAGTAATAGCACGAAGAAATAGATTACAAAGACATGAGGATGTGAATAGAGAAGAGCGTATCACCTTAAGCCAAATTAATTGAATCAGGGTAGAAGAACGAAATTACGTTTCCTCAATTCCACCAATACTCTGACGAACTTTGCTGATTTCACATTTAATTCGCTTAATCGAAACACTGAAATTGCTTATGTGGGCAGCGAATAGGCAATTTGGGGAAGTCGATCAGGATCGTCTTCTAGGTTTCAAACTTACAAAAATGATCCTTCCTATTCGTCAAACTTCATTTCAACTCCCCTAACAACTATAAAACAAAGACAAAACTATAAAAATAGTTTTGTGAGTTTTGGTCTAAACTTTCATGTTTTTTTTTTTTTTTTTTTTTTTTTTTTTTGATTGGTGGTCATTTTGATTATATTTTTATGTGGAATTGGTCTCTCTGTTAAACTTAAAAATAATAATATGCCCTTTTAATTTGTTTTTTCTATTTTTTAAAAAAAATCTCTTATTATTATATATATATTAAAGTTATGAAAAGTTTTAACAGTGGCATTTTTTTTTGTCAATTTTGGTCCTCCAACTTACAACATTGACCCTTCATCTTTATGCTTTTGTTCACAAACAACCCTTTCACTTTGGTTTGAATTTTTCATAACCCTCGTCTTTTATTACATATTATTAGTATTTAGTCTTTTGGCAGAAATGGTCCCTCATCATTATTATTATTATTGTTAGACAAAATTACATGATTAGTCCCTGTGGTTTATCAAATTTAACATTCTCTTTTTGGTTTTAAATTAATGTTTTATTTATTAGAAAATATTCACCCAATACCATAAATCCACCCACCATCTGCCATCACCACCACCGCCAAAATTACATAAATGGTCCATATGGTTTACCCATGGTGACAAATTCAGTCTCTACTACCTGAAAAGACCAAATTACCCTCACATTTGAATTTTCATAACCCTCGCCTTTTATTACATATTATTAGTATTTAGTCTTTTGGCAGAAATGGTCCCTCGTCATTATTATTATTATTGTTAGACAAAATTACACGATTAGTCCCTGTGGTTTACCAGATTTAACATTCTCTTTTTGGTTTTAAATTAATGTTTTATTTATTAGAAAATACACACCCAAGACCATAAACCCACCCACCATCTGCCATCACCACCACCACCACCACCGCCAAAATTACATAAATGGTCCATATAGTTTACCCATGGTGACAAATTCAGTCCCTACTACCTGAAAAGACCAAATTACCCTCACATTAACGGACAAAAAGCAACCAACATGCTACTTTACTTTACAAAGCAATACATTCCGACCCCGGCAACGCCGGAGAATCTTTTCTAGTTTAAATATTAATTGTAAAATAAATAAAAAGGGACCTCTCTCTCTCTCTCTCTCTCTCTCTCTCTCTCTCTCTCTCTCGTAATGACGCCATGCCCCAAATGTTCATTATCTTATTCCTCATATTGAAATGTAAAAAGTATAATCTACCATTAAAATGCAGAAAAATACCTAACCGTATAATCCATCATCTTAATTATTCAACCTGCAGTTGGAGCAACAATCGAAAGCTGCTTTAACCATTCAAATGTTCGATGACGTGACGCCCCTCGTTTTCGTTCTCCGGTGATCTTTCTTTCTTCCAACACTTCTAATACTTTCGAATTCTGTAACTGGATAATCTTTTCTTCTTTTGTCATAATCTTCTTCAGTACTGTACTTTAGATTGAATCTGCAGAGCATTTACACCCACTAAAAAACAATCTTTGTTTCTTCTTTGTGTTCTTCTAGTGTATCTGGTTTTGAGTTTGATTCTAATTTTGTTCAATGGTGATGTTTATACTATTGCTAGTATTGTTACTGTTGCTGTTATGGCTTCCGAATCTTTTGCTTCGATTGTCTAGATCCAATAACCCGATTTATTGTGGTTTCAACAACCCCGCCTGTAAAAAGCTCAATAACGATGAGGTTTTATGGCTAGAATGGGAAAACAACTGATGCTTGTGGTGTGGTGATGATATCGTGTTGGTGATGATGAAGAAGTTGTTGGTGAAGGATTTTGAATAACAAAATGGGGGTGGGTGTTCTGATGAAAAGCAACGGGGAGAGAGAGAGAGAGAGAGAGAGAGAGAGGTGTGGCCTTATATTTTAATTTAATAAAGCATTAAATTAAATAGACAAAAGATATATATATATATATATTATATATATATATATATATATATATATATATATATATATATATATATATATCAAGATGGCATATTATCTATTTCAGTTTAGTGAGGGACCAAAACCACAACCAAAGTAGCTCAAAATGACTACCAATCCAAAAAAATCGAGGTTTGGACCAAACCTCGAAAAAATGCATACCATAGGGACCATTTATACAATTTTGTCTAAAACTAATTAATCCACCCAAATTCAAGTAATGGTACATCGGGTAAAACTTCGTTGTTTCTAACCAAAGAAAATTATAAAAATGGTATATGTGGTATAGTGTAATAGGCATATATAGTCCAACTTCAAGAAAATGGACAAATTCGGTCATTGTGTTTTGTCGATATTACATGGATCGTCCCTGAGCCGTTAAGGCTAACTTTTTTTTAAAAGACAAAGTTACCCTTCGACCAAACCAATAAATATAATATACTATAAGGACCAAATTTGTAATAGCAAACAAAATTATAAACCCAACCTAACATATTATATGCGTTTTACCCTTTGAATTGAAGATGAAGATGAATCAGCCGAATTTGGGTAGTTGTAGGTTCCATTTGTTTCATTTCCTAAGGTTTAGCCACCTTACCTTAATGTTTATCTATTGTCTAGTATAATTCCTTTCATCTTCACATATGGTCGCCGAAAATGGAAACTCAAATTCAACTTCAACCTAACAAAATGGCATGTTGTTTACCAGTGTCCAAATTGAGGCCTAAATACTTGCTTTCTAAAACACAGAAAGCCTTTCTAGAGCATCATTAATTCTTATTTTAATCTAATGGCTTGTACAAAGCAGTCGAAAACAAAGTCCACTAGAGGAAAGGCTATGAGGAAACAATTGGCCACCAAGGTGGCAAGGAAGTCAACACCAGCTATTGGTGGAGTGAAAAAGCCACACATATTCAAACCTAGAATAGTGATATCACAAAACTTTTGATCAGGAACTTCCGTTTTAGAGACTTTCGAGATGTCAAGACTAGTTTGCGATGCAATTCCAGAGCGTCGTCGTAGCTGCCATCTAGGAGGTTGAATGGAGATTAAATCAAGTGTCAATATTATCATTGATGGCTTAACCACTTCGTCTTACTTGTGTCTCCGGCGATGACTCATATAGGAGTAGAATAATCAGATCATGAATGATGTCGATTCCGATAGAAACATGATGATGTTAAATTGCTAATCACCTGAAACTCCCTGGTGCCCTTCATCTTCGATGACAGTTTTGGCGGCATTCTGGAGACCTAAATAATCGATTAGGGATTGGACTCTTAACTTTTTCTTCGATTTCGACAACCGTTTTTCTCCAATCGCTAGAGCACCACCTAAATGCTTGGTTTCAGTTTTTCTAGCTAAGCTACAAAGAGAATGGGTAGTGCATGGATTGCTTGGCCATTGTTGACGATGGTTTTGTGTGTGCATATGGTCAACAAACGATTCCCCAAAGGCGGCCTGCCTGTTAAATTTCCAAAAAGGATACCGCTTTAAGCCTTTAACCAATGTTTACCGTTAAAACAATATAGTTTTTTTTTTTTTATTTATAAATTATCTCAATTTTGATGTAGAGTTTCTAGAGTACTTACATAAATGGCCCCTAAGGTTTTGGAAAATAAATATTAAAAAAATGAAAATAAAAAAGGGTAAAAAAAATCATTTTATAGTCACTTAATTGCCTTTAGTGTTAACTTTAACAACGTACGGACGATCCATGTAATATCAACAAATACAAGGACCGAATTTGTCTATTTTTTAAAGTTGGACTATATATGTTTGTTATACCATACCACAAGGACATTTTTGTAATTTTCTCTTCTTACCAAATAAAAGAAAGATATTTGGGTTCCTTGAGAAAACTTTTTAATAGACTTTGTATATTATAGACAAAAATATAAAAAATATATGCACACAACAAACTCAAACCAAAGTATAGCAAAGTAATTGATAAGAATATATGCACACCCTACATTCCTTTTGGGTCGGGCATGTTATATGATAATTTGAAATGATAAAAATATGTGGTGGTTGAGATATATATCAAAAGCACTTTTGATCAAGTCTATTGTCAGAAACCCGAGTACTTTGAATTTTATTGGATTATTTTCCAAATGAGATTTTAAATAAATGAGTGTAGGATTTGGATTATTTTCCAAATGAGATCCTTTGAATCATCATTCGAAATTCGAAAAGGACTGCAAATTTTTTTTTAAATAACAAATTTAATCTACTCCTAAACTACTCATAATTACACCAATGTCCTGTTGGAAATTATAGATGAAATATTACAAGTTGCAAGTTTCCTCTATCCCACATTGGTGGGGGGAAAAACCTTTTGTGAGCTTATAAACCGTTTCCCTTGATAGACCTTTAAATGCTTTAGTGGATCAAAGGAATTGACCAAGCCCACACATGCGTGCCTAGCCTAGCTTAGCACTAGCCGACACCACGAGTGCGCGAAATGGCACGATTTAGGCGCACTTGGCACTTGGCAGGATCCATCGGTCGCTGGAAGCTGAGGAGCTTTTATTTTTGGCAAAGTTCGGGTTAAGTCGGTTTGGCACTTTGTTGCCTCCTAGGGTTTCGATACCTATAAATACAACTCCTAAGGAGTCGTATTCTACACACGAAAATTCAAGGCTCTCTTAGTATTCTTGGCGATTTCTTTCTGGTTTCTCAATATTCACTTCGCGTTTATTGTTTTTCCATTGCTATTGGAAACTCGATAAATCTAAATTAAATCCTAGGGTTTTACTCTATTGCTTATAGCCGATAGAAGCGAAGTAAAAAACTGTAAGGATAGGTGTACGATCCGTGCAGTTATTCTATATTCAAGATCAGTCGTTAACAGGTCGGTTTTACCTTATTGTCTCGTGATGACGTGCCTAAGACGGCACGACAGAATCGCGCCTAGCCAAAACGCTAAGCGTTCCAGCCGGGCTAAGCCCAGCAGGCTCAGCACCCGCCAGCGCCTCTGGGGACAAGATGCCCAGGCGAAGGGCTCGCGCCCGCTGAAGAACGCTCCCAGCTCCAAGACAAAAG